TATCGAGGGGGGCAGTGCCTCCTGAGTGCGTCGATCGAGACACACTGGTTGAAAGGAGCCCAGGAAATCGGGGTCTAAACATCTCCGAAACAGGGAACGAAGTCCGAAAACGCGTAACCCTCACAGTACAGGATTTTAGAGAGGTGGGCAAAGAAGAACGTGCGCACCTACCACTTTCGTGGGATTTTAGAGAAGTGGCAAAGCATAGCGTGCAAAACAAAGGGAACGAAGACATGTAACCCTTACCTTCACAGGATTTTAGAGAAATGGGCAAAGAATCCCGTGCCCATTTACCACCTACGTGGAATTTTAGAAAATGGGCAAAGCAACACGTGCCCATCTACCAGCTATGTGGATTTTAGAAAAATGTGCAAAGCTTCACGTGCACATTTACCACTCACGTGGATTTAGAGAAATGCGCAAAGCCTTGCTTTACGTGGACATCTTACCATATTATCTGGATTTTAAGTTCATGGAAACCCGACCATATCGGCCAGCTGGAAGCGGCCGGCTCACACATCTCAGTGGTGATGGGAGCTCTGCCTAAGACAGCCTTATACAGGAGGATCCTGGTGATGCCCCCTGTACCTCCCGTTCGTTTCCTCAGCAAGACGGAATACGCCGGTGGCCAGGAAGCCCCTCGGGGCGACCAGGCACTGTAGCCCAATTGAGGGCGTCTAGCAAGGGACAGAACGTACAGGTCCCAGGAAACACTGCAATGGAACTATAGAAGGTTACGCACACACAGCCGTCTCAGTCCGTCCTCAATATACAGATATCATGATATTTGGATCGTACTCACCCCCATGACTTCTGTACTGGAGCTCTGCTCCGAGGCTCTTATGACCGGACCGTGCTGCAGGTACCTTTATACATTCTCTAAGGTTATTTTTACACATGACCACCTCGGTCTCCCATTAGTATACATGCTCTCATGATATATGGATCATACTCACCCACGAGGCTTGTCGCCGGAGCTCTGTCCGGGGATCTTTTGACCGGACCATCAGTCAGGCGGTTACCATGATCTGGCCATAGAACCACTAAGAACATCATGGGCCTAGTAGGAGACTGTTTGAAAAATACTTCTACAGCTAACCTCGGTCAGCTGGAGATGGTGGTCATAGAAGGGGGAATTAGAAAGAAGGGGAGAACAGGGTAGATGTTGTACCCCCTACGGGAGAGAGTGAATACCTAGGTATTACTCTGACCCGGACGAAAGCGCTGGTGCCTTGCCCAGGTCTCACCCCTCGGGTTTCGCCTGCCCCCCTTCGACCCACGATACCTCCTACCCCCACCCACAGGTGGAGGCGGGGCGCGAGTCGCGACACTAGCCCTCTGCCACCTCGGTCTCCCATTAGTATACATGCTCTCATGATATATGGATCATACTCACCCACGAGGCTTGTCGCCGGAGCTCTGTCCGGGGATCTTTTGACCGGACCATCAGTCAGGCGGTTACCATGATCTGGCCATAGAACCACTAAGAACATCATGGGCCTAGTAGGAGACTGTTTGAAAAATACTTCTACAGCTAACCTCGGTCAGCTGGAGATGGTGGTCATAGAAGGGGGAATTAGAAAGAAGGGGAGAACAGGGTAGATGTTGTACCCCCTACGGGAGAGAGTGAATACCTAGGTATTACTCTGACCCGGACGAAAGCGCTGGTGCCTTGCCCAGGTCTCACCCCTCGGGTTTCACCTGCCTCCCCTCGACCCACGATACTTCCTACCCCCACCCACGGGTGGAGGCGGGGCGCGAGTCACGACACTAGCCCTCTGTGCCCGTCTCTGACCCTCAGACCAAGACGGGCCAGGACCCCTGGTTTGTTCGGGCTCAGACCTGGGCCTTCGTGGTATGAAGGACTTGAACGCTGCTGAGCGCGACTTCGCCTCCCTGAATTTGTCGACCACCGTCTCAACGGAGGTGCCAAACAGTTCAGAGGGCGAAACCGGGGCATCGAGAAGAAAGTCCCTTTCTTTCTTCCCGATGTCCTCCAAGTTCACCCACAACTGCCGCTCCGTCACCACCATAGCAGCCATCGCTCTGCCCATGGCCGAGGCTGCCTGCTTAGTAGCCTGGAGGGCCAAGTCTGTGGTGCGCCACAGCTCAGCCGTTCCGGCAGAGGAAAGGCCCTGCCCCTCATCCAGGTCCATCTACATTTCCTGCTCTTGTTGGGCTGGGCCCAACTGAGCACTGGCTCCTGGATCAGATGATATTAGAGAGAGGATATCATCGTCCAGTGGCTGTCTCTCGCCCGACACCGATGCGCGGCAGAGGGGAACCCCCCCTTCAGTCTCATCGGCTAGGTCCACCTGAGATCCCCACGAGCTCATTCTCCTCCGTGCCTCAGCAGCGGCGGGTCCTGAACCGCGGGAAACCGATGGTTGTCCCTCTCCCCTCGAGAAGAGAGACAAACGAGAGCGGAGCTTCTTCAGAGAAAAGCTCTCACAGTGCACACAGATTGCCCCCTCGAGGACATCGCGTGCGTGCTCCTCGCCCAAACAAACAACGCATAAATCATGTGAATCATCGGGCGTCAGAAACCGCTGACACGGATGTACACACTTTCTAAATGCTTCACTAGTGCTCGCCATAGTAGGAAAGAAAAGCTCTTACTTTGCTTTTGTAATGCACGCTTCAAACAGACCGGTCAGTGAAGACGAAGAAGGTGAATGATGTACGCTACCGGCGCCTATTTTGTACTAGTCGCGGCGGGAGTGACGTCATGGCTGTCGCCGGCCCAACAAGTTGGTGTTTTCAATGTAGGCTTCAGACACGGGTCACGACGAGGCGTTCCCCATAGCGACCCATAGAGGACGCAGTTCGAAGTTCCACGAAAGGGAACTTTGTATAGTTAATACAGACTACATGAATGACATGCAAAGCAGCCAATCATGATTAGTTTTTTATGTGTCATTTATGGGAATTTAAATAAATAAATAATTCAACAAAGGGAAGTATTCAGCAATATAAAAAAATTAATACAACTATTTGATCAGTGAATGGACTGTAGGTGGGACATTCCACATGATGCTGAGACTATAAAAATCCTGGTCAATGCTACTGTAATTGGACTTGACCAACACAAGGATCCAGATCATTTCAGGTTATCTACAGCATAATGTCTATGAACGGCATCTGTGACATGCAGTTGATTACCACAGACAATCATTTCCACTCATCCCTCAGTTTGTAGAAAAAAAAACAGCATTTCCAGGTATAAATAAGCCATGCGGTGTTATTTTTCAGCAGTCTCGCACCTCTTCCTGCATGCCACATTCGAGCAGCATGGTGACGCACGCTTCGATAGGAAACGCAATCTCCCTGCCACTGATGGCTAGATGTTCCTCTAGGGCCTTTCCATATGATGGCTTCTCTATCCAGGCCTCTGAAACACACCATGATGGACATTCAAATGCAGTCTCCAAAAAGCAACAGAAAGAAGTTTACTTGCAGACCCACACACACACACTTGAAAGCCACCACTTAACCAAACTTGTATGCTCAGACATTAAAGTGGCAGTGGCGAGCCTCACCCTGGTGAGCTTTGATCTGTGGCAGCACACTCTGCAGAATCTCCAAAGACTTCCTGTGATACTCCGCCTGAACCTCTATGAGCTACAGCAAGACCAATAAGAGGACACACACATGTTGTAAGCCAATCCAACTAAAATTACACACTTCACCTTTAGTGCCCAGAGGTACTTGCCGTTTGAAAGTAGTTTGCATAGTCTATTTCTTTGGCCACAAAGTTGTACATGTCCGCTGATAACTGGTCCTACAGAGAGATAGACATGTAGGTCTACATTATCACAAATATTTCAATTTTTTTTATTAAAAAAGGAAGAACATTTTAAGTTGGAGATTATTAGGTAAGAGTAACATACTAATTTTGCCTCGCATTTGTTTAAGTTTTTAATGAAATGCGGAAGAAAGAGTTAGAGGAATCGTCACCCTGCAGATCTCCATCCGATTGGCCGTCTCCTCCATTTCTTCTCTCAAGGAATCAGCCTTAGCTCCGCCCTGCTGCACATTACTAGGGTGACTTGAAGATTTGGACGACTGTTGCCACCTAGAGGTCAGGAGGACCAATGACGCTGTCAGAGCACAACGTGGGCAATGCAGAAGAATCAAGGACAGACATCAACAGTAATTTTGCTCATAGTTCGTACCGTGTCCTTGCAGAATCCATGTCCAGGACGAGTTTGGCTAAATGTTTTCGCTGTTTCTGAATGTTCGGAATTTCCACCTAAACAGCAAACCATGTCCATATGAGAAGAATTAAGCAATACAACCTTCATGCACAAAAATTGTAAGCATTTAGGGATTAGCTTCTAACCTTGTAAAGTTCACTGTATCATATTTAATATGCACATTTGATACACAAAGGCCTCTAAATTATCAAAATAAAATATCAAAACTTTGCTTCAAACCTGCTGCATATAGCCCTATGTTTCCCCCCATAATAAAAACTATATAGCTTTGATCATTAAAATAAGCATTTCAATTACTATATTATTGGGAGATACAGAGTGTTTATATGTTTATACATTTATGTTTATATGCATTTTATGTAAGTAGTCTGTTTTCAGTGTTGGGGAGTAACTAGTTACATGTAACAGAGCTATGTAATTTAATTACAAAATTAATGTTACAGTTACTTATGAAAATGTTAATGATTACAAGGGAGGTTACATCTGAATATTTTCACACACATACAAATATCTTTCCAAAACTGCACTGACTGCTCTAAAATATGAGACACCAATGTTTCATAGGACACGTGCTTCTTTGATTTGAAAATGAATTACAATTGAAAACGTTCAATATAAGTAATCAAAAAGTAATCAAATATAATCAGTTACATTAATAAAGTAATTGAAATAGTTACACTACTTATTACATTTCAAATAAGGGAACTTGTAATCTGTAACCTATTACATTTGCAAAGTAACCTTCACAACGCTGTCTGTTATTCTATATATTGATTTCATCTTTCATTTTGGCCATATAAATATCAGCAGCTGCACCAAAATGCATTTTTGTATTTTTTATTAATTATGTTTTTTGCTCAGCCTGGGCCTCTGAATAAAACAGGTGTTTTTTCCTCCTCAATTTAAAGCTCCATATTCTTCTGTATCATACTACACCATTGAAGCCTGATGTATCAAATATGATACTCAATAATAAAAAAAAGCTTATTCTCACTATTATTTCACATGTCAGGTACTAAATGGTTAGATGCAGATGAAAAAGGTTGCAATATGTGTATTACAGTGTAACTTTGACAGGTAAAACAGGTTCACCTCAGCCAGCACATACAGAGGTTCCACAACATCTCTTTCAATCTGTAACTCAAAGATGAGCAGCTCTTGAGCCAACTTCTCCTCTGACTCACCACAGAGATTCAGCATCTTACTGCAGATGGAGACCACAGGTTAGTCAATGCAGTCAACCAAACCAGGGCTGCATCCTAATCACAAACTTCTCAGTGAATGTCACGAAAGATCTCAAGAGCTTAAATGAGACCAATAACTACCCATATACTTTGATGTTGATGTCAAAGGGTGTGTACCTAATTAAACTCTACATATTTGGTGCTACTTCATCTGCCCCTTGGTAGAAACTACCCAAATTAATTTGGTGCAAACCAACGCAGGTTGCATGGCAAGAGACATTTAGAAAAGAAGCACTGACCACAAGAAGTTTGAATAGGGTTTATCAGGTTTACCCCTGCTGGTAGGTTGTGGTAATTACACAACCTGGCTGAAAAAAAGCGGTTAAACTAGAAGGGATAATCTCGCTGGATGGACAGGACAAAAGAGAAAGAAAACAATTAAATTGACAGTAAAGAAGACAACTAACGAACTAATCTGCCTACGTTGTGGCAAAGTCTTTTTAACCAAAATCTCACCAGATGGACAGGAAAAAATGAAACGGACAGTGAAGAAGACAACTAGCGAACTACATCTTGCAAGACTTGCATCATTCTGGCCGTAGTTTTATCCATTTCTAGCCACCCCACCCCCCAAAAAAAAGCATCTTTCTTTTTCTTCACTGGGTTTACTGGCAGGTTACAAACCAACTTAAGTAGATGCATACTGCCACTTATTGTGCTGGATGACAACTGAGTCTAGGTTTTTAAAGGGATAGTTCACCCCAAAATGAAAATACTGTCATTAATTACTCACCCTCATGTCGTTCCAAACCCGTAAGACCTTCGTTCATCTTCGGAACACAAATTAAAATATTTCTGAAATGTTCCCAGGTCCAGAAACGTAGTGAGCACATCGGTAAAACAGCCCATGTGACATCAGTGGATCAACTTCAGTTTTGCGAAGCTACAAGAATAATTTTTGAGCGCAAAGAAAACAAAAATAACTATTTATTTAACAATTCTTCTCCCCCGAGTTACGTCTTCCGCCGAACATTATGAACAACGAACATTACAGTTGCGTTGCTTTCTATGCAGGGTCTGAGAGCTCTCATATTTCATCAAAAATATCTTAATTTGTGTTCTGAAGATGAACGAAGGTCTTACAGGTTTGGAACGACATACGGGTGAGTAATTAATGACAGCATTTTCATTTTTGGGTGAACTAACCCTTTAAGGATGATTTGTTGTATCCCATAAGTTCACTGTTTCAAATAACTTTAATAACATTTGATCATTTTACCTGCTTCTGGTGATTGTGTGGAAAAAAAATTATTTTATGTAGATATTATCCAGTCTGACAGTGGTCTTATTGTTAACTAAAATTAAAACTAAAACAATTGAAAAATAAAAATTAAGCTGAAATAAAATGAATAATATATAAATCTCATAAACATTAGACGAACAGATATATATAATTAAATAAAAAAAATGAATGTTGCAACAACCACAAATAAAATAATTTTTAAATAAAAATAAAGCTAAATGGCAAAAGCACAATATTCCATAAACAAAAATGAAAACGAAAACTGAAAATATAAAAATAAAAGTAAATATTATATATATATATATATATATATATATATATATATGCATACACACACACACACACACACAAATATATATACATATATTGCAAGCTCAAATTACATGCTTCCGTTCTGATTTTTCTTTGTGCAATTGTTAAATTTGTCTTGCCCAATCTAAGTGATTGATTCACCCTTTTGTCTGCCTTTTCTGTCTGAATTGGTATTATAATACAATTCAGTACTTTTGCTAAAATATTACATCAGTTTGTGTGAAATGAGTGAAGTGATATCTCTGAATCTGAACATATCACAGCTTTTTGGCATCACTTCCTCAGCTCAACCTGGAGCCATTTGTATTGCCATTTTTTAGTGTACACTGACGTCCCATCTGTTAATATCCCACATTTTCCCTTTTTTAATTTTAAGACTTTTACTTGGAAGCAAAATCACATTCTGGAAGACAAGAAAAAATATCTGCCAAAGGGGAAAAAAGTAAAGTTTTTAGAAAAATGATGTAAGTCACAAGTCTTGTGTTCCGAAAAATTTGTCAAAATTAAATTTACGCTTAAAACAAGAAAAATAATTTGTGGTGTTGAAAATTAACTACAATTCATTTTAGAAACTGAACTTAATTCAAAGTGAAAACTTAGTGAAAAAGTGAAAACTTACAAGGAAATGTATCTTGATTTAAGAATGTTTAGATATTTCTACTGGAAAACAAAAACAAACACTGAGAAAATACTAAGAAAAAGACTTTTTGCAATGTGGGTTTTAAAGCATAATTCTCCATTGATGCCCATTCGATTGTAAATTATGATGCAGGCCAAGGTAAACAGTTTGAAAAATCTGTTTAGACATCAAAATACAAAGACAAACTCACCCAAGAAGAGAGTCGTCTCCTAACACAGCCGCTCCCTCCACCATACATTGAGCAAGTATCGTCAGGGGCAACTTTTTCTGCTTAGGAAAAACCACAATCAAGCCGTTATGAGTGTAATTAATTTCAGTGCAGAAAACAGGAGTGTGAGGTGTGGGAGCTGATGTACCGAGGGAGATTTGACTGATCTCTTTTCTAAATCGGTGCCTTGTTGTCCCTGCAGACAGGCGGCCAGCTTCTTATGTGTGCTATGAGAGACCTGCTTTACCAGGTCTAAACGCTTCTCCACCTGAATGCAAAATAAACACATGTGAAGCATATGAGCAGTGCAGTAGAAATAAGAGTAGATTAGAGCAGTAGGTAAATATATACAGCTTGTGTTCAAACTGATCTGATTTCATCTCACCTGCAGCAGGTCTTCACTCAGTACCTCTGTTTTTTCTGCCCTGTAATATCAGAGAGAAGAGGCATTTAGGTGTAGCGCTAGCTAGTTTTGCTTTATATGCAAAAACGCATGCTCCGCAGATTTTTGAATGGATTTGGAAAGCAACCTCATAAATTGTGATAATTTGGATTGTAAAGTCAGTTAAAAATGAAATAAAAAAGTTGTATTGTAAGTGACATTATCCTATACTACAGGCCAGGGTCAGTATGTCTTTGTCTAAGAAATAATATTATTCAGCAAGGATGCATTAAATTGATCAAAAGTGACCGTTTAAAGACATTTATAATGTTACAAGAAATTATATTTCAAATAAATGATTCTGTTGAACTTTCTATTTATCAAAGAATCCTGAAAAAGTTTCATCACTGATACTAATAATAATAATAATAATAATTGTTTCTTGACCATCAATTCATCATATTAGAATGATTTCTGAAGGATCATGCGACACTGAAGACTGGAGTAATGATGCTGGAAATTCAGCTTTGAAGAAATAACACAGAAATAAGTTACATTTTGAAACATATTCAAATAGAAAACAGCTATTTTGAAATGCAATAATATTACACAATATTACTGTTTTACTGTATTTTTGATCAAATAAATGCAGTCTTGGTAAGCATAAAAGACTCAAAAACAATAAACGGTAGAGTATGTATACATTTTCTTTGTCCAATTGACTCATACTGGACTCAAATGTCAACAAAACTTCAATTTAGATAGATAGATAGATCAACAGTGTCTTTGCTGTTGACCTTCAAAGATCAAGAAAGAAGGGCTTTTACATTTGCCAAAAAATAGAACTTTATTTATATCAAAAATAAACAAGCAAGCCAGGCCAGAAGAGAAATACTAACGCAAAAGTAACGTAACGCAACACATTACTTTCCATAAAAGTAACTAAGTAACTTAATAGGCTACATCTTTAACTTCTATAAAGAAACTACAAACTACTAAGCACCAGGTACTAAAACAAGATTATAAATATACAGTTCAGTCATGAAACTCTAGATGGCACATTCTGACGGGTTGTTAACGTAACTGATGATATTCAGAGAGTTAAACGACTTAGCACAAGCTGATTGGTTCATGCTGCATATGCAGCCAATGAGCTTACTGCCTTGCATTTATATGGCTGGCTAGCATTCACTTGAGATTCCTGCAGCACGCTTTCAGAGTTTCTCTGAAACCCTCCACCTTCCCCAGCTCCACCTGTATAGATCTGCTACGGGTTATTTTACATGCTATTTGTGCAGCAGCAGTATGTCTTAAATACTCATGGCACCGTATCGCAATATGCATTGGCAGTAGCAAGTTCCTGTACTTGCTTGCAGCAGCAGCAATAATCTACAACTACCGAAATAACCAACAGCAGCAGCAATTCAGCAGCAGCGTAGCAGATCTATTCCGCCAAGACCAAATACATTAACATTGTCATATCCATCAAAATGCTAAAATCTTCAGAGAGTTGTCATGATTGAACTGGTTATTCCCTTATTAACATTCTATCATTTGATACCAGACCATTAAATTAATCTTGCCTGAATACTGAAAATAGCATAAGAATAACATCTCAGCAGTTCCTATATAACGAGCTGACTGAGAGTCACTACTTTGAGCAATTCAAACTGGGGAGAGGAACTTTTCACAAATGAGTGATCACATCACCCCAGATCACATACTTTTATGAGCTATGAAAATCAATAAAAATAACTTTCACAATCCCCTATGAATGTGCCATATTGAACTCTGGCCATTACATGTTCATAATGAATCACAGCGAGGATGCAGAGCAGGTTCTGTTTCTGCTGAGCCTCAGATAAGCAGCATGACCCATATGGTGCTCACATACATACAGAAGAGCAGGTTGCCATGGCAGCAAATACCAAATGCGAATGAAAATAGACACCAGCACATCTCCTTCCCATCCACGATGACTGTGACTTGTTAAAGTGTAAAAGAGGGTCTTGATGTAGAAAGAGGTGCATTTTATATTTAAGACAGAGACAGCAGCGTGCATGTTTTATTTTTTTAAAAGAGACCATTTTAGAACAATTATGTAATTTGCAAGAATTTACAAGGTTGGAAAACTGAATCTCTAATATTTATATAATTATGTATAGCTATAATTACGTATACAAGTACTGTACATGCTTGACTTTCTTGAGAAGCCTGACAATAAATACTAAATGACACTATAATATCTCATTAAGTAAAACCATTTTGTCACTTGAAATAAAATAAAATATATAAAAATTTTATTTAATTGTAGCTAGTTGCCAAAGGAACATTTATCATTTTCTTTTAGTTAAATAAAAATAATAAAAACTATATAAACACTAAAAAAACCGAATGGAAATAACAAAAACACGCAACAAAATTACTAAAATTTGAAAATGAAAATATAAAAATAGCCTAATTCAAAGTACACAAAACTATAATGAATATATAAAAAAAACTATATTGTAATTATTTCTTAACATAAATAGAAAAGGTGCGGAAAAGCACTTCAGTATGCATCATGGACATGCATCAACTGATAAAAATGTACGCCTTCAATGCGGTGTATATTTTTGCAGATTAAGGCATCTGTCAAATGCTTAAATGTAAATCTGACATAAAATACCTCAAAAAATGTCTGTGCCGTTATCTTTAATGATGAAATATGTAGGCATATTGACCCACAAACATGATAATCATAATAGAAATTGTGTACGCACAGTACACAACACATCCGCCACAACACTTTTGCAGGCATTTTCATGACCCTAAACAAGAAAAAGTCACACAATTTCAAGAAAAGCATCATAGGTTAACCAGTATTTCCAAAAACCAAAATGTGTCAAACTGACCTGCAACATAATCTTGCATTTCTGCAACAGTGAGAAAAATCATATTTACAGAAGTTCATAATGTTTGGCCATTCATCAAATATTTATTTGGAAGACCGCTAAATTTGATCCAAAATTAATTAAATCAACGTTTTGAGATATTGATGAGATATTTATTTATAATTATTTCATATTTAATATAACATGTATTTAATATTTAACTAAATTATATTTTAATTAATTAAACAGATGTAGGTTTAAGCCATATTTAGAAGATTTCTTTCTTTTTCATTCAGCTTCACTGCATGGGGTCTCTGAGGGTTAAAAAAAGGTCATGCGTGACTTTTGAAAGTCTAAAGCCTTGAAATATTCCCTTCACTCCCATTTTGCACATTTTAGCAGCAATTAATAATTAAAAAACTATCATCCAAACAACAGTCTTCGAATTCAGTTTTGCCCTTACTAAAATCAGTATGCTGGTTTTCCTTCTGTTGGTGACTCATCACTCAGTCTGTTTGTTCACTTTGAAGATGACATGAAACAGACCCTATTGACTTGCCATAGAAATGTCCCTAGTCTTATTGTGTATTACTCATCGGTACAGATTATTATATAGCGAAAAAAGTGTTTGATTTCATAATCTTTCATTAAACGTCTCTGCAATGTCTCTAAATGTACCCATTTAAACTAGCCAATATGTGAGCAGACATACTACATTAATAAAACAAGATGCTGCACCGCATGCCAATCATAAACAGCCTACAGTTAATTCACTTATTAAATCTCTCACATTTCACAATTTATTAAGCAGCAGTGTTTTTGTTGCCATAAAACGACTGTAATGCACAGACTCTACAAGAAAATCAGTGTTATGAAATTCTCCCTCTCCTGTTTTTGAGCAGCAATATCCTCCTGTTTCAGGTCGATTGATTAAAAAAAGAAAATAAAACAAAACCCAGGCTGCCTACAACAGATGCTTCGAGCTGAACCGCTCTCCAACACTGCAAATTTCCCAAGGCAAAGACAAAAACAAACAAGCGGCCTGGCAGAGGAGAACAGATGATGCATGTGAATGACCTAGTGCTCTGTGAGACAGGCCTGCTGGGGCCGGGCCAGAGATGAGGCACTGACCGGGGACTTGAGAGCCCAGAGAGTCCCGCGCACATCTACTCGGCCCGTCAGGAGACTCAATAAAGCTCTCCTCCTGTCACTCTTCAGCATGACTCACGGGCAGCAGGACAACTCTCAAAGATGGCAATTAGTCTTGAAGAGGTGTTTCTTTTTATTACGGTGGTTGCAAGGCTGCACTGCGTAGATATTTCCCATTCCTCAGTATTAAACTTCTGAAATTAATTCAGCGCTAAACATACAGATCATTTCGGCCTAAAGTGGGCTGCGCTCTCTTTTTGAAGTCCTTTAACAATTCTACTCTTCCATTATCTTTTACGGAATGTTTGGCATTCATGGGGCTTTCGCCAGCGCAAATCCTCATTTGGCGTTAAAAACTACTGTCAGGATTTACTAAAGACACGCAATGGGAAATTAGCACTGAAAAGGCGTGGACATGGTTATTTTTGTGACTCATGTTACTGAATATGCATTTGTAGGAGTTTCCCTTGTGATCTGTGTTGTGTTTGTTCGAAGTAACACAAATACAAGTCGAGACAACGATGGGCAGTTCTTCTTTTTATTTTACTGTTCAACCACTGAACACCAGCTCCGTTAACACAGGTGTCCTCCTTGGACAACCAACTGGCCAACCAGAATCTAACCCGGAGTACCCCAACAGTACTTGTACTTTATTTGGGGCATATTCAACTCAATACACTACACTTCCTCCCCCCTTAGATGAGAAAATCTCAAACAACAGTTTCGCTTTTAACAAAACATTTCCCCATATAAAGAAATAAACTTATGCTACTGTATGATTGTAATGTCCCATTTAAGGTTTCTTTTTTTTCTCTTACTTTTATAAATCAAGACGGGTTGGTGGTTTTCGTATACGGGTAGGGTAACATTTCTCTTCACAGGTTGGAATTGGTGTTTGTGGCGCTTCACTGAGAGGTACACTGCTATCTTGAGGTGTTGTTGTATCACTTCCATTTGTAACAGTATCTGTAGTGGTGAATGGAACACTCACGGGACCACTTTCCAGAGGAACATTTGATCT